GTTATCCAGGTGGGTGCCTGATACTAAAACTAAATCCCATTATCCAGTAGGGTCCTGAAAACTTGAAAACTAAATCTCATTATCTATGAGGGTCCTGAAAAGACGAGAATGAACTTACCTGAGCCATGCTCTCTTCTTGGAGAATTCTGAACAGAATTTCTTGCCCCTGAGCCATGCCTTCTTCATGGGAGGGTCCCTGTGGATTAACAAATTTTCTTGCCCCTGTTTTAGACGAATAAGATTTTGTTAGTTTGAAAACGTGGTGGTTAGTTTGTGGCATCATTGCTGAGCGTCTGCTTCTGCCACTGCCATGATAATTTTGATTTCAACTTGGATGACCTTGACTGTTAGCGACTACCCATTTTCTTTCAACCCTTATCACAGAAAACACCTCTGCTCTATTTGATCCCAATATCCATTATCTGTTGCATTTTGCTCATCAATTGACATTTACCGAACCCTTGCATTTCACATGAATCCCAAAGCATGTTGATTATTACCAACTCAATGTGCATACCACTTTTCCCTGATTTATGCCATTTTGATGTGCTAGCCAAATTCGTTTTGTGCAATTGGAAAGCTGGTAGTAAATTTTGAAGTCATTTCTCACTTTTCTGATCAAACAGAGTCAAGAAGGGACTCAAACAAAACAAGAGGAACAAAATAAGGGACAAGGGAAAGAGATGATACCTAACAAGAAAATTACAAAGTAGAAATTTATTAGATGTGGATACCAACTCTAATGACCATGACATGCACCTTTGGACTAAGTGGCCTAATCTCTCAAGAAGTCTAATATTCAACTCTTGTTGTACCTCTAAGTCGTGAAACTGGGCTTCGACGCTCCAGTTGTCCTATTTGATCCACGATCCTCAGTCGACTTGTAGTGCCCTAAAGGGTTTTCACCGTCAAGCCTCTCTCATTTTGCTCTTTTCTCAACTCACCGTCGCCTTACGGTGCCCATGAGGGTTTTCACCGATAAGACTCTCTCATTTTATCATTTTCTCTCATTGTGCTGAGAACAAAGGTATTACCCATGATGCAGGAAGATCATACTTTCACCACACACTTGATTTGACATCCTCAAAGATTGGTCAGACGGTCTTTCTTTGGACCGTAATGTAGGCTTTTGGACAGGGTTGGAAAGAAAGAGTGGCATGAAGGCTCAAAATAATTTAAGATGAAAGGGTTCAAAATTACAACTTTTGGAATCAGATCTTTTGGCAAAATTAAAACTTCTACCCCAGTTTTTGGAGTCTGGGATTTTTTTTAGATCTTTGCTTTGATGGGATTTCAAAGAAAAACTGCCCCACTCTTGGCTTCGGGGATTATGAAATATTTTATTTGGTGCAACCGAACTGTAAGGCTGCCTAAGTATCTTATGGTGACAAGAATCAGGTCGAACGTAGTTCAAACAAAAAGTTGGTTTTTTTTCTTTCCTTTTCTTTATTTTTTTTTCTTTTTCTTTTTTTTCCTTTTCTTTTTCTTTTCTAGTTCCCAACTCTACTTCTGATTCCAAAAGAGGGGTATGAAATAAAAAAAAATTAGGGCTCAAAATGGGTAGCAAAGGATAAGTGTTTGGGTAGCAGAATAAAATGTTTTCGTCATACGAAACTTAAAAATGCCAAGTACAAGCATGCAATTTAAGATAAGCAAACAAATCACACATAATATCTATTGATGGCATCAACACAAGAAAAAAGTGCCAATGAGCAATACCTTTGTCCCAATGAATGACCATTGCCAGTTCGAAGTAGACTTGACTCAACCTTATCTTGATATGGAAGAATGCATTTTAGCACTGACTGATTTACCTGAAACTGCTTGAGAGGAATTTCCTTGTTGTATGCTCTTATCAACCTTTAGATTTCCCAGACTTACTGTCTTAGTTTCACTCAATTCAAAGTTCAGGTCATCTCAGAATGCATGAATCTTTAATTGTTTCCTCAAATGCATCCTTTTATCATATTCAAAACTGTGTCATTGCTTCAAGCTTAGGCTAACTTTCAAGATCAGGCTGAGAATTATGCGTGCATGTTATGTCACTAGAGTCGGCATGAAGAGAACTATAAAATAAAAAATAACCTAAACAAAAACTGACTAGTACTAATAGAAAATAAGAGATTGCATTAGATAGATGATGAAAAGGGTTTGAACAAGACAAGCAAAATATGCATGGGCTACAACCCTGGAACAATCCTAAATAACACTAGACGAATTACTACAACTAAACGAACTAGACAAAATGAAGAAGAGTTTGAACCACAAGGCAATGTCTGGATTACAACCCCGAAATAACCCAGACAACATAAATGACAACAAAATAAACCACCAAAACTCCTTCCTAGCTAGCCAAGAAAGGAGTGTTTTTCCAATTACCAAGCTCGACATCTTAGCCACTGGGTTGCACATCAAAATTGTTGGGACCTTCAACAATTTCAATATCATTAACTTCAGTCAGCAAGTTTCCAAAAGGATTCTCATACTCCGTGTCACCACGCATCATCCCCATGAAGTGTGCATCATCGTGTCCAGGTAAAGGATTCTGCGCGATATTCTGGGTGTCACTGTCCTGGATCACAATTATCCCTTCTTGAATCATTCTTTCTATTTCTCTTTTCAAATCCCGACAACTTTCGACATTGTGCCCCTGGGCATTGGAATGGTATTCACACCTTTTAGAAGGGTCAAAGCTTCTTGCACGCTTATCCACATGATTCGGAGAAATAGATGCAATCAGGTCATGATGCTTTAATTTCTCAAACAAGCTTGCATAGGACTCTCCTGTCTGTGTAAAATTATCTTTCAACCTTTGTTTACCTCTATACCCATGGCTTGGATGTGGGTTATGGGGCACCTGAAAATTTTGTAGAGGCTGGTAGAGATCTTGCAGTGCTCGCGCTTTCCTTCTGGGTTGTCTTGGTGGATGGACAAGATACTGGGGTGGAGTAACAAAGTACTGTGGGTTCTCAGGGGAATTGTCAAAAAACAAATGAGGCTGGTCATGCCTTCGAGATGTTCTTCTATGACCTCTTCTTGACCTTGATATCATCATTATTTCTTCAACCTTCTCATTCGTGCCACCAAAATTATCAAATTCAATTTGGACAGCCTGAGTTGCAGCTTTGAGAGCTGCTTGACTTATAATTTTGCCTGACTTAAGGCCATTCTCTACCATTTCTCCCATTTTGATTGCTTCCGAGAATAATTTGCCAACTGTGGACATCATGTTTTGAAAGTAATCAGGCTCTTGAGCATAAAGGAAGACAGTGGTTAGCTCATGTTCATCCATGGGTGGCTTCACTCTAGCCGCTTGTTCTCTCCATTTAATGGCATATTCCCTGAAACTTTCAGTTGGTTTCTTCTTCAGATTTGAAAAGGAATTACGGTCCGGGGTGATATCAATGTTATATTGGAACTGTTTGACAAAGGCCTGGGCCATGTCATCCCAGACATGCCAGCAAGATCTGTCTTGACCCATAAACCATTCTGAAGCTACACCCGTAAGACTTTCCCCAAAATAAGCCATTAGTAGTTCTTCATTTCTTCCCGTACCTCTTAGTTGATTGCAATACCTTTTCAGGTGGTCTATGGGATCTCCATGTCCATCGTACTTCTCGAATTTAGGGATCTTGAAACCAGGTGGTAAGTGGACATCGGGGAACATACATAGATCCTTGAAGGCAATACTCTTATGACCTGCCAACCCTTGCATGTTTTTCAACCATTCTTCTAAAGCTTTCACTCTTTGGGTCATTTCTTCCTGTGCCATCTTTCAGGCAGACTTCTCAATGTTTGCAGGAAGATCAAACAAGTACGAGTGGTACTCAGGAGAGTGATACTGCTCTTGCTATGTAGCAAATTGTGACTCATGAGTTTTCCTCTGCACCACCGTCGGTTGTGGGATGGTAAAGACAGACATAACTGTAGTGGTTGTCTGATTGGTTGTCAATGGCACACTTTGGGAGTACGCAACAGAAGTTCCAACTATAGTCACGCAATTGGGATAAAGACTAAACCTAAATGGATAGAATTGATCGGACAATGAAACCGTAGTGGTAGTAGCCGATATGGGTGTAAACTCTGGGAAAACATAAGAAAGGGGTGGTCCTTGACCATTGGCCCATGCTTGACACATTTCAGACATTTGTTGTTTCAGCCTTTGGACCTCCTCTATCAATTCAGATTCCGACTCCATAATCTCCCTCGAGGGGTCGACAACCCCTGTATCCAAGTCTTTGCCAGTCATGACTTCATTGCCTTTTGACCTTGTGTTGTACAGGCAAATCACCAAAGTGCCACAAACTAACCACCCTCTGTTATAATGAAAGTAACAAAGAGGAACAAAACAAAGCCATCAGGTTAGCGTTAGAGCATTTATCAGATAGAAATATCATATTACGTGCAATGCCCCTACTCACAGTTAACGGTTCTAGAATGGCTTCGAGGATGCGAAGGTCATATGGCATCATCCCAATTTCACTCTTCTTGCCTCATTTCCTTCTTCATCTTCCGTTCCAACACCGATTGGTTTTTCATTTCTTTCCCCCTCTTTTCTTTCTGATTATCGCTCTTTTCTTTCCTCTCATTTCTCGCGTCCCACAACTTCATTCTTTTTTTTTTGTTTTTTCTTTTTCCTTCTTCTTGTTTTTTTTTATTTTTTGAAAAATGATTCGATCGAACCCTATGTAGGTTGCCTACATATCATGTCCCTCATGAATCGGATGAAGCGTGGTTCTAAAAAAAAGTAATGGACAAATAAACTAAAAATAAAAATCTTTTTGAATTTTTCATTTATAATTTTTTTTTGGTTTTTCAAATACAAAACAGGAAGTACTATAACAAAAGACTCGACAATCTTAACTAGACTGACAGACTCGATACTATTGTACAAGACTAATAATTAAAAGACAACATAAAATAGACTAAAAAAAATAAAAAGTTTCTTCAAGCAGCTCGTGCGTGCAATGGTCTTGACTAGAATGATCCTCGGGTATTTGTCATGCTCGAGCTGTTGCAAATTAATCCATACCTGAATAAGACTAAAAAAAGTTAATGACTCAAGACACTATGCAACACCACATCACCTCTTATGGACACATGCAAGACATGATTGGGCTATTTTTAAAAATTAACCTACGCGGCCAAGAGTGGCTAGAAATGCAGACTCAATAAAGGTGACCTCAAAGATATGAAAATACCTCACTAAAACTTATATGGACTCAAACTCCAACCAATCATGGCCCAAAAATTAATTTGTAGAAATTACCCATTTTGCAAAAACAGCCGATATGGCCAAAGTTGTTAAAGATGCAAACTCAAAAAGGAAGGACCTTAAAGTAATATGACACCGAGTTGTAGACTCAAGATCCTAAGACATGGGTAATTGAACCACTTTTGCAAAAATAACCCCGTTTTGCAAGAATGGCGATGTGGCCAAAAGTGGCTAAACATGCAAGATTTGGCTAAGACCCCGTGAAGCCAATAACCTAAGACACACTAGGAATACCGGGCCCTATGTGGGTTGCCTACGTATCGCGTCTTGAAAGATAAGAATCAGGTTCGCGTAGTTCGGGAAGATTGAACATAGGAGAAAGCCTTTTAAAAATGCAACTAAATTGGAAAATCATATTTTTTTTGTCTTTTTGAGAAATGATGGAAAATGTAAAATCTTTTTGGATTTTCTTTTTCTCCTTTTTTTTTGAATTTTTGGAAAATAATGAAAAAGTGTAAAATCTTTTTGGTTTTTTTTTCATTTTTCATTTTTTTTTTTTGAATTTTTGGAAAATAATGGGAAAGTGTAAAATCTTTTTAAATTTTTTCATTTTCATTTTTTTTTATTTTTCTTGTAAAAGTTGTGAAATTAAAATATAACCGGACCCTACTTGCTCCATTTTCACCCTTCTTTCCCAAATATCGGTCCGCCAAATGACCTTTCTACCCTAAAAAATGCAACATGTATCACATAAGAATGATTGAATGTCTTTTTTTTGGCAACAGGCCCATTTTTGACAAAATTTGGATAGGCTTCCTACAAAGGGACACGGTGCCTGGGACCGAGCCCTACTAGGTGTAAATGACATGATGCAAATAAAAATGACCTAAAGGCTGACCTAAGTTTGGGGTTCACTAACAAGACAATTCGGGGGAGCGTATGGTCGATGGTGGCTGCTAAAGCTTTCCACCCACTCTATACGTCTGACGGCCCCGCTCCTAAATTAAGGGTGACTCAACAAAGAGTCCGTGCACGTGACACGTACTCCGATACTTATTGTAGAAGGAAGACCCATGGTTATGCAAATGATGACAGTTTATAAAGAAGTAACACATTAAGAAAAGCGATAAACAAATAACCAACAAGACAAGGAAATAAGACAAACAAACCAAACAAACAAAGCAAATAAAGAAAACAAACACCTCAACCGAATATCCTAAAAGCCAACAAGATTAAGTATAAGCTCGAACCTGCAACTCCCCAGCAGAGTCGCCAGAGATGTCACAACCCTTTTTTAAACAAAACTTCACTAACCCTCTTAAAAATAATAAAAGGATTTTGTAAAGCTCGAAAATGGTTTTTCAATTTTGAAAGTGACAAAAATGGTGTTCAAAAGGATATAACTCAGAGTCGCCACCTGACATTGATTTTGGTGTGCCAGGTCACCGTTTTATCAAAATGATTTTTCCTTTTTAAACAATTTGAACTCCAAAATTAAATCTACACCAGAGATTCGGGTAAGGGGGTTCATTTCACTCGGGAAGAAGGTGTTAGGCACTCCCCAAGTCCCGTAAAAGTCACGATTGTGTACTCGATCTAATCGGCTTTTAAAATATTCAACTTGAGGTAAAAATAAAAACAGAAAACAAAAATAAGCACAAATGAGGCCCGAGGTCGTTCCTACCTAATAAAAGAAAAATAAAAATACTACGAGTTCTACTTTCGGCCTCCAAATATAAATACTTTGGGGCATACCCCGGATAAAATATATAAAAATTTTACGGGGCATTTCCCAGATAATAAACTAAAAGAAATGACCTCTCGCCTCAAATACAAATGAAATAAAGAAAACCTAAGATTTCCTACCAGAGTGACAATGGCCTAAACATGTTGTTAGTGGATAATGAAAAAAATAGAAATAAAACTGAAATAAACAAAATTCCATTTCATGCTCATTTTATTTGGAATATACTCTAATCGACCTTAACACTCAAATCCAAATGAGTTACTGTGATCTAATCCAATTCTATCTTATATTAAAATTGAAACAAATAAGCAGAAGCTAACCTATGGAAACCTAGAAATAGTGAGTTATTAAATCCAAAATACGATGAAAAATAAAACTAACGTGATAATGGTCCATATTTCAATAATCAATAGCATATATCACATTTCAAATTTGCATTCAAGAATTTAGGATCATATTAGACAAAACTATTCAACATATGTACTAGTTCAACTAATGAATCACAACAAACAAAATAGCCACAGAGATTAATTAAAACAAGATTTGGAATATAGTCAAGACTGAAACTACTTAGGCTAAGAGATCAGGTTAAGGATGGACCTTTAATTGAATTTGAAATTCAAATGCTTAGACTGCTTTGAAGCACATGAGCAGCAAGATCGTGAACAGGACCTCGACAGGAGGCTGAATGGCCGAACTTCGCCGGAGAGACTCCAATCTCGCCGACAACTCGAACTCTAATTGACCCGAAGAACAACGAAGCTCAAAGAGCTGACCAGAAGTGAAGTTTGATGCGTTTTCGGGGTTGCGGCAGGGCTGATTTGAGTTGGATTTTCATACTATTTTGAAGTTGTTTTTAGCTGGTTCTCGTGGCGAGAGGGACAGTGATAGAGAGGATGAGCTTTCCTCTCTTTCTCTGTCTGTTCCCTCCTCTACTATATCCCCTTTAAGTTTTTTTCCATTCTCCTTTTTCCAGTATGTGTGTGTGCTTTGTTCCTAATTTCGCAGCTGAGTGGTGGTGAGGCTAGGTGACAGTGGGGTATTCGGCGGCCTAGAGTGGTTCAAGGATTGAAGAAGAAGCTCTCCATGGGGGTTGTTCTCTTAGTCCAACGGCTGATCTCTCCAAGTCTAGGTCTAGGTTTTTTTATTTTTTCTTGTATATTATCTTAAATGGGTGTCTAGGTTTGGGATTTTGAGTTAATGGGCTAAGGGATTGGTTTAATTGGGCTACAAGCAAGACTAATTTGGTTCAAAAACTAATTTTATTCTCTCCTTCTTTTTGTATATAAAAATAATATAGCAAACAAGATAACTATTAAAAATACTACTTAATATTACTTAAGAAAATAACTATTAAAATAATACTAACCGTTTAAAACAAACCTATTTTTGGTATTTTTTTCAAGATTAAAAATGACTACAAAACCTTAATGAAACTATTTTCTGTAATTTTCATTTATATGATAAAACATAATGTAAAAGAGTCAAAATTAGTTGAAATAACTATATTAGGCCTAAACTAAGTATTTAAGTGCTAAAATATGTAAAATCTTGGGGAGGGTCAAAAATCACATGTTTACAATTACTTCTTGAATCTGGGAAATTTTAGGCAGCAAGAAATAACAATTTTGAACATACCAGATTTGCCTAAATGATGAACGGACGAGATTTTATAGACTAGATGTCTAAACATTAACTGACTGCTGATTTTAGAGGCTGATTTTATCTTAAACCCTATAGTCATGATTTCTAAGTGCTGAAATATGCTGAAATCCTATTAGAATGAATTCTAAGTGCAGAAATTAATTAAAATTTATAGGCATGGTATCTAAAAATGCAGGATTGATTTTAGCACCTATAAGCGTGGTATCTAGATGCACATAATCAGACAAACGTCATAATAACTTATATGCATGGTTTATAAGTGTAGGAACTAATTAAACCCTATAGACATGGTATATACTCGTTCCCAACAGTATATACCATGCCTACCTATAGGGATTCATATATATATATATGAATCCCTCCCAGTTTTACTAGTATCCCAATATCTTTTTACAGGGAAATTACTATTACAAATCAATCATAAATGAATTACAGAAATAAATGATACTATACTATAAGGAGCCTAGATAGGCCCAAAGTAAACCTGGAAAAAACCAGGCCTTCAAACAGTCCAAAGTACCATATCCCATAGTGTCCGAAAGAGGTATCCTAATGTGTCAAAGTTCCCAAGGGCCTCTGGGACCCTGGTCAATGCTCACAACAAGATCCTCCATAAAGAGCAACAGATTTGTGCAGTGTGGAATGGCTAGCCCCAGTGTGTCAGAGTTCAGAGGAGTCTCATGGACTCCTAAGTAGTGATCACACTAGAGGGGGCAGGACCCTAGGTATTCTAAGAATAGGAGTGAGAGTGCTTTAAAAGAGTAGTGACAGTTTAAGGAAAATAATTTAGGAGTAAAATAGTTTAGAGGTTCCAGAGGGAAAGCAACTCAGAAGTGGAAACATATAGGAGTAAAACAGTTCATGACTGAAAACAACAATCAAAAGCATTCTGAGAACATCAACATAGTCACAAAGCAAGAATTTCATTGCCCAGTGTCAGCAGAAGGAGTTTCAGCCTTGAACTCAATTAACAACAGACAAGATCCATTGGTTCAACAAAGGTTTCTTATGGTCTTGGTCCATTAACTAATACTAGGTGAACATACAACCTTGTACCAATCATAGGGTAGTATGTTGGATCAAACAGTCACACATAAAGTCAAGCGAGGGAATAGATACCATGATTTAATCAGGGGTTTATTAGGGATGAACATCTATAACAGGACAACAATCATAGGTCTAATGACATAGGGGCAGACACGTAGATATGTTGTAAGCAGGACAACACATAAGTCTAGTAAATAGAAACAGGCAGGTTGACATACTGAAAATAGGACCCTCTAGGTTTAAACATATGTGAGTAAGCATGCTGATTAAGGAATTACCATATAGCACATAAGTCTTAGAAATAGGCATACTAATACCATGCAAACATACTGATTCAAACAACATGATAGTAGACATGCTAGGAACAGGAAAACACACAAGTCTTGGAAACAGACAATGTGGACATATTGAAGGCAGGGAAAAACCACATAGGTCTTAGTTAAGAGCATACATGCTAACATCAGGGTAACATACTGATTCAATGATATGAAAGTAGGCATGTTGAGAACAAGAAGCATACTGATTTAGTAACATGCAAGTGATTATGTTGAGCAAGAAGTACATAAACTAAATCATACAAATGTCTGAATAATAATAAAGTGAGGCATACCAGTTAGGAATTTGCAGTAGGAGAGTGAAGTAAATAGGATCCAAGATCTAGCCTTAGCTTTCAACCGGCTAGACAGTCTAATAGGCAAATAGTAGTAGAGAGCAAGAGTTTTTAGAGGTATTTTTCCTTAGGTTTTTGTGTGTGTGCGCGCATTTGAACAGAGTCATGTATTTATAGGAGTCGAGTAGTGTAAAGTAAATAAGTCAAGGTAGTTCAACATTGCAAGTAAGGCAAGGAAAACAATCAATCAAGCTTGACAGGGCAGAAAATCAGGGAGTTATACCCAAAAATAACTCATATTGAGTTTCAAATAAGGCAAGAAGTGAGTTTGACAGCCAATTAGTGTCAGAACACCATAAATCAAGCAATTAACCCCACAAATAAGGTAACATAAGTAATTAGAGACCAATCTGGGGTCAAACACCCCCTAATTTAAGCTTAATAGGCAAGGAATGTCAATTAAAAATCTCAGAACTAAGGAAAGCAGGCAAAATATAGTAAATCATCTCAGCAAAACATCAAACCTTAGACGGTTGAGTCAGTCAATCAACTATTCAAAAAAATAACGGGTAAAATGTTGAAGTGAACAACAAACAATCAAACAACTAAGACTGGAACTAAGTCATTAAAGAAAGATTAATCAAACACATAAAGAATTTCAGAAAAAAACCCTTTGCAAAAAACAGACGAAGTGGAACCCTAATTTTGAAAAACATTTTGAGTCGATTAACAGTAAAGAAACAAGAGATCTTAAAAGAAAATCACTGACAAACTCAGAAACAATCCAGATCTACAAAGATCTAAACAGATCATGTCTAAAAGAATAGGGTTTTGTGCAAAAGGGGTGGGGTAAAGAGAATCTGATTTTGAGCCAAAGATTCAAACTATAAAACTCAAGATAATAGCACTCACAAATGGAGGTGACCATAGGCAAACTCTTAAATAGTCTCGAATAAGATCTGGGCTAGATCTCTTTCATGAGATAGCAAAATCAAACAACCAGAAGAAGTAGGAGACCAGTAGAGGTCTGAAACAACCATGGAATCCCATGGAACAGGTACGAATTGAAGGGATTAGGGGTAGGTTTAGGTGGCGGCAATTAAAGTTAGGGTTGGTCTCAGACAGAACCGGAGAAGAGGGGATTCAAGGGCGGCTGGTGTGTGAAGAATGATTAGGGTTAGGGGTCATTTGGAATAAAAAAGGAAAGAATGAATGGTGGTCGTTGATCTATGATCAACGGCCAAGATTAGAGGGGTTTGGGGCTGGGTAGAAGTCTTTCAGGTTTGGGCTGTGTAGATTTGGGCCTGGTTTTTAATTGAATTGGATTGGGGGCCCGATTTTGGGTATAATTAGGGGCTATTTGTTAAATACTCAATTTACTAAATAAAATAATTTTAAAAAAAGCTAATTTAATGATTAAAAATAATTTTCATGCATGAAGGTGATTTAAAATAATTATTTAATATTATAAAAATATAATAAGTCATTTTCTGTGTAGATAAAATAGTTATGCATATGTAGGGGCTATTTTTTGTAAAATATGCAATTATAGTCTTTAAAATGCAAATATAATTATAAAATATGCAACTGAAATATTTTAACACTCATATGGACATAAATGATGAATTTAGATCATTAAATCATCATAAAATAACATGAGGGACAGTTTTGAACATTTATGTAATTGAAAAATGCAGAAATAAACAGATTTAGGGCCTTTAAAAATTGTAGAAAAATTGTAAAAACACTTTTGCATGTTTTTAAATACATGTACAATATTTTGAAAGTGTATATGCACAATTAAAAATATATGAGAGAAAAATTGGGTATCAACAGGGTCACTCTTGTATCTTACTAGACATTGTGTTCAGTGTGATCCTCTGTGCAAGGTTCCAATCCAATCCAAAGGAATCTCATTTGAAGGCTGCCAAAAGAATATTGAGATATCTCAAAGGAAACAGGGTTTGGTTCTCTACTATCTCTCAAGAGACAACTTTGATCTTATTGGGTATGCTGATTATGCAGGATACGTGGATAGGAAAAGCACGTCTGGAATGGTACATTTTTGAAGTTCCTGCCTAATCTCATGGGTTACAAGGAAACAAAACTCGGTGGCACTCTCAACTGTAGAAGCGGAATATGTAGCAGCTGCTTCTTGCCGTACTCAATTGCTATGGATCAAACAACAGTTCGAAGACTTTGGAGTATTCTCTGACTGTGTGCCCCTCCTGTGCGACAATATAAGTGCACTCAACATGGCCAAAAATCCAGTCCAACATAAGAGAACCAAGCACATTGATGTGCATCACCACTTTCTTAGAGACAATGTTGAAAAGGGGCTCATCTATTTGAAATTTTGCAGCCTAGAAGATCAGATTGCAGATATATTCACCAAAGCCTTGAGCAGAGAACATTTTGAAAGAAATCGCCTAGCACTGGGGTTGATAAAACCCAACTGAGAACCTGGTCCTTTGATGATTGGCTATGAAAGAAATGTCCAAGTAAAGATAGCTAAAAAATATTTTCTAGCAAAGTCTAACTCATCTCTATACCGTTACAGGTAGACACACATGATGATTACAAAGCAAATAAGCAATTGATGCAGTGCACGCTGGTAAAAAAGGGCAAAGCTTACACGTACAAGATTCGCCAGGGAACCTGGTTCTCCTGACACAGGTTAGTAGTTTTTATGTTCTCTCATGCACAATTTGAACGGATAAAACAGTGCCACATCATTAGTGTGTCAGTTTCTTTTCTCTACATCTTTTGAATGCAAACGTCTCACCCGTTGGTAAGCAACCCGACTCCCAAAACTGTCGTCTTTTCTTAACCGGTCCCTCATCCATCTTAATTGCATCCATCACTATCACAACTCTTC